ATGTAGAAGTGTAACCTTTATGACAGAATGGGTCCACAGGTACTGTCTTGTGAGGCAATGTCTGCTTGAGAAAGTTTGGCTGTTGTCTATGAAAATGTGCATCTGGATATGTTGTCTGCAAAAGTGTGTATCTAAGAGTCAGTATCTGCTTAGTGTCTGTAGTCACCTGTCTGAGGGAGTCTAGGTATAGTCTGGGAATGTGTCTGAATGTCTGTGACTCTGCACTTGTGTGTGTGTTGGGGTCGATGTGTGTCTGAATGTCTCAGTGTGTGTATGACATGGTCCAGGTATGTGTATCTGTGCACGAGTCGGGCTTGGATGGTCACTGAGTGTGCAGGGAAGAGGTTTGAGGGTATCTACTCATGAGTGTGATTAGGCCTGTGTGATTGCAGGGACAGTTCTGCTAGGTGTGCTAGGCAGACCCACCCACACACTCAGTCCTGGTCCTGTTCTAGCTGGTCACTCACCTGGCTCCGTCCTGGAGGTTTCAGGGGGCCCCGGGGCCCCACAGGGGGCTGGGGGCAGACGCTGCTCAGGCCTTCTGGGTCTGCCCTGCCCAAGGGACAGAGGAAAAGGTGAGAGGCTGGCTTGGGATGGGCACACTCCCCTACCTTACCCCCTTGTTGGGCATCAGCCATCCCCCCTCCATCTCAGGCTCCCTGATGATAGCCTGGTTGTCATAGCAACTGTTACAAGGGAAAGGAGCCACCTGGCTGTGTTTTGGGGGCATTTCTTAGGGAATATTCTGGGCTCAGGAGGCTCTTAGTACCCACAGTGATGGTGTGAGGAGGAGAGTAGCCTTGTCTTCTAGACATGTGTTCAGGGATACACAATCACATGTATGATGCAACTCATGTCTACAGTTGTCCCTAGCACTGGGTCACAACTCTGCACATTTAGTTATACACAGACACAACCCCAACTATACACACCAGGTCACACAGACTTACCTAAACAGTCACAGCCACTACAGACATCTTGTCACATAGCCATGTTCACAGATACACACAGTCTCCACTACAGACATATGTCTACATGCATATAGAGAGTCCTAGCCTGCCTAGGCACTGCCACAAACTCCTGGTCATGCCAGCTACTGATATTTGGTCACTTCTATTTTTTTCATCCACATACAAAGAGCTGAGCTCAGGCATACACACTAGAGTGGCATATGTACAGCCACACCCAATGACAGTTATGTTTCCTCAGGCAGCCACCCAAATACTCACATCACAGACCCACTCACATAGAATCACACCCAGTCACACAGATGAAATCACAGACATAAACACTTATCACACCTAGCTCCAATGCTGTGTGTTGACATCTGGTCATGGATGCATGCAGACATACACACAGCCACACCCAGTCACAGCCAAATGTGTTGAATCATCTACAGGCACACAGCTGCACATGGACATTCAACCCTTGTATCAATCACACCAATACACCTTTTTGGTCACACACTGTCACACAATGACACATACCCAGTCATAGGGGCTCACATTTAGTCACAGATTCAACTAACTTATATGGACAGTCCTCCATCACCAATCAGACAGAGACCTGGATGGCCATGGCCCATGCATTATAAGGAAACAGGCTGGCACACTCAAGACATGCATACAACCACCAAGAAACAACTGTCCCCAAGGATGGCCACACTCAGACACAGCCAGACAACTGGTGGTCCAGAGTCACAGCCATACACATTTCAGAACTGGTCGTGTATGCAAAGTCACACAACGTCAGTGTCCATATTACCTGGCCATATATCACAGTCATAATTCTGTCACCCGATAATCCCTACCCAGCTATACCACATCATAGCATCACAGAGAAACACAGTCTCTCTTCATGCAAACACACAAGTCACACAGACATGTGACCACATACAATCACAGCCCCATGTAGTCAGACACATATCTCACACAGAGAGACAACTTCCACTTTACACACTACATGCACACAGTCAGGTGCATGCTCAGAAATGCAGTGACCCAGGCGTAGCATTTACAGCTGCATTTATGCAGAAGACACAGCTCCTGACAGTCATGCTGCCACCAAATCGCACTCAAACACCAGCAGTCCAGCATACACACAGACACACACACACCAAATAGTCACACAGCTAGACACACGCTCACAGCCCATGACACAGACACAAGTACTTATAGTCACCCAGGGTCACAGACATGCAGGTCACACAAATATAGAAGCCCCAGTCACCTACACTCCCTCCAACACACACAGTAGCCTGGTGCCATCAGACACAGACACACCTATATCTTGAGTTAGATACAGTGAAATAACCCACTATTAATGGTCAGCCAGAGTTTCAGACCCCAAGTCAAGTACATAATCCAAATCACACATTCGCAACTGCAACTACACACAATCACTCAGTATCAACACACAGCTACATACAGTCACTTATATAACTCTGGTCATATACACAGACCAGTCGCACAAACATACAAGGCACAGTGCCATCACACACACCCAGTCACACAGGCACAACGTGACTGACTTCGTATACAACGGCAGTCACATACTCAGTGGCAGGGAGGTGTGCCACAGACCTATGTGTGACACAAATATAAATCAGACACAACCACAAATGTACACAGCCATTGGGAGAGTCGCACATGGACAGCCATAGACACAACTCCATTTACACATAATCACAACTCCACCCACATCTTCAGTCAACCACACACAAGTCCAACCCCAGACTCAACATATGCACTTCCACATACCCAGTCATAGTTACCAAGGCACACAAACACGGGGTCACTAAAGATGGAACCACAGACACAACCCCACAGTCACAACCATACACACACCCAAACAGACTAAAAAGTACCGGGTTCTTTTAGAGCAGCTGTCGTATACACATAGTCACACAAATGCTGGGGTCACTCACAGACACAACCACAAGCACAAAACACAGACACAAGATTCCCCACAGTCACCAGCACAGACACACACAGAGCCAGTCACGTAAACAGGGGGTCACACTCAGGCACCCCCCATCGCTTGCTTCCCCCTCCCCCCCAGGTACCACACACAAAGCCGCCATCACCTCCGACGCTGCAGACAGACTACAGTCGGTCTCTGGGAAGCCGCCCCCACCCCTTCCAGCATGAATCCTGGAGCGCGGGGGACCGGCGCATTATCCGAGGGTGGGGCCACTCCCAGGCAGCTGGGCAGCCTCAGGGACAAAGGGGGTGGCTCAGCGGACCTGAGCCCTGGGACCCTTGACCAAGCAGAGAGGGGAAAGGGGATGTGCCTGAAATTTCCCTGATTTTATTCAGGCTGGGGTGGGGGTGGGGTCCCAGGCACTGGGACCTTGTTTTGAGAAGGGGCTGTTCCTGGGACGCTGCCCAGGGATTGGAGGGAGGGGGAAGGATGCTGTGCCCAGGACGCCCCTGAGGGACAGATCTGCCCGGAAGCCCCCAGGTCTTGGGTTGGTGGGGAACCTGTGCCCAGGGACCCACCAAGACCTTGCCCAGAGGGTTGTTGTGCTCAGAGCTCCCCTCCGGCAGGGAGGAGTCGGGATGGCGTCTGGGCTGGAATCGCCTCCAGGAGGCCTTGGCTTCATCTGGGGGTTGTGTCCCGGACCCATCCCCAAGCCTTGCGGAGGGAGTTGTACCGAGAATCTGTCGCCCTGTCCTTGGTTTTTCTGAGGTGGAGTTCGGGGTCGGGGGTCCCTATCTCTAGGGCCTTGGTAAAGGAGGGCCTTGGCGAGACCCCTGTCTCCCAAGCTTTGACTTGGTGGGGGCCTGTTCGTGGACCCCCACCCAGGACCGCACTCTCCAGCCTTGGCACCCTCTCCATCGGCGTGCCTCCCACCCTCCGCCACATCAGCAGCGGCGCCGCCCCCCACCCGAGCCCCACTCTCCCGCCCTTCTCACGCTGGCTGCCGCGCTGCGGGACATCCAGGGCCCGGGCGCCCCCGCCTCCCGCGGCCCCGGCGGGGCCCGGATCCCCGAGTGGTGCTGCTGCTGCTGTGACGGTGGCGGCGGCAGTTCTGACGGACGCTGGCCGGGGCTGCAGACCCGCGGATGGTGCGGGATGCACACTCTCCAGCTCGCTCTGCTCCCAGTGGTTTCCGATCCGGGGGCGGAGGGAGCGCCCCTCCCGCCTCGCCTCCCCGCCCCGGCCCCGCCCACTGGCCCGCCGCCGGCTGGATACACAGAAAGACCCCGCCCCGGCCCTGCGCCCAGGCCGGCCCTGGCCCTACCCCCTTGGTCACCAAGCCACGCCCACACGCCAGTGTGACCCCGCCTTCTCCGGTGCGGCCGCCACTCAGCCACGCCCATTAACCAGTCCCTGACTGGATGTGCACGGGAGCCTCGCTGACTTTCCCTCCAGGGCCTTCGAGGCCGGCACTCCCTTCCCCTCCTCGACCACTGACCTCAGCTCTCCTTCAGTTCTGCATCCGAAAGAGTTGCTTCGAGAAAAGGCTTCCCGCCCCACATCCTCAAACCCTCCAGCTAACCCCACGGTTTTCCCAGCCCAACGGGGGCGGGAGAAGCGGTGACGAGGCACTTTTTGCCACGAATGGGAGGGGAAATGAACAGACCCCTGCGTCCTAGTGCGGATCTGTTTTTGCAAAGGCAGTGGGGGCGCCGGCTGGGACTAGGGCGTGGTTCTGGCCGCCGCTGCGACCTCCGCTCCCTCCGGATCCTGTGGGTTTGGCAAAGCAGCTGGCAGGGGCATAAAGGCCCATTAGCAAAGGCGAGGTTGGGGCGTCAGGGTGGTGGTGTGGGGGAAAGGCCTTCTCAGCTGCCACAGTCTTGTGAGCAGGTGGTCAGCACGTGCGGGAGGGGTTGGGGGTGGGAGAGAAAGGGGAGAAGGAGGATTCTAGCAACAGATGGCCCGTGCAGAACTGAGGCTTTCAGACAAGAGGGTGGAGGGGGCTGGCCATCTGCACCTGGAGGCCGTTCTCGTCCTAGCCTCCTTCTCCTCCACCCCAGCACAGAGAAAAGAGCTGGACAAGGGGAGGTTCGCTTTTATTCAGACTGAAGGTTCAAACACCCCCAACCCCTCCCCAACACAGAGAGGATGGGCAGGGAGAAGGCAGCTGGTGAAGGGGTGAGGGAGGCTGCCTCCACCAACCACCACCCCTCCCCTCTCATTGGCCAGATCTGTGGGAGACCTGAGGCACCGGCGAAGGGCTCCCCTCTAAATGCTTCTGCATCTCCACTTTGGCATGCAGAGAGCCTGAAGCTCTCTCAAATGTTGGCAGAAATAAATCAATCCCTGGAGTAGAGTTCCCGGATGCCCGCTGTGGAGCGGGGAGAGCAGGATATGGGAGTGTGAAATGGGGAGTTCCCTAGCCCCAGGGTTCCCCAGTCCCCAAGGAAGGGTGCTAGGCAAGACTGGGAAGCCTGGGTGGGGCCCCCAGACCAGAGCAGCGTGGGAAGGAGGCATCTCAGGGAGGACGGCCCTCTACTGGCTGGACTCCCCAGCGGGAAGCTGTCTGAGTGGTCTGACCAGACCGCCCCTCTGGTCAGGAGGCTTCGGGCAGTGGCTGAGACTGGCGACTGGCCCAGTAGCGCTGGTAGGTGTCCTGGAAGAGGTCCTGGCAGTTGATACGGGCACGCAGACGGGCACAGGCCAGGAAAGCCCCCGCCAGCTTGCGGTGCAGGGCATAGGTCTCCTCCGGCGGTGGGCGGAGCCGGTGCTGCAGCAGCACCGGGATGAGGCCCTGCACACGGCGGGCAGTGTCCCCGGCCCCAAAGTCATATGGGCCCTGGGTGGCAAAGGGCTCTCCCAGGATCATCACAGCCTCCACATGGGCATCGGAGAATGCCTAGGGGCCGGGGAGAACAGAGGCAGAGCCCTTCTCTTAACCAAGAACCAACAAGCAACACTCAGCTCCGGAGTATAAACACAAGCACCAGACCCCTTCCAGAGCCCCCAGAAAATCAGCAGCCCCTTACTCCTCCCCCCCAAAAGGGCCCTTCACTCCCTCAGAGCCTCCAATAGACAAGCAGACTTCACTCTATAGTACAGAGAAGCAGCTCCATTCCCCCACTCCCTCCCTCTAGAATAGGTAAGTGGTGCCCATTTTCCCAGGATTACTGACAGGCCAAGTAGTCCCCATTCTCCCCTAGTCCTCCCCAGAGTCCCCCAGTACAGATCAGCAGTTCCCCCATTCCCCCAGAGAGTTAAGCAGCCCCCATGCCCCCCAACAGACACCAGCCCCTACTCCTCTAGTGTCTCCCAACCTTGGTTTCAAAGCCTGTGAGGAACTTGAGGTCCTGGGATTTCTGTAGGACCCGGGCTCTGTCTCCATTGGCTGCAGCCATCACTACCTAGGGAGAGAGGTGTGGAACACAGGGTCAAAGGCCAAGCAGGGTTCCAGGAGGGGTCTGGGGGAAACTAGAGACAGGAGGTGGTAGCCAGGCCCTTCCTGTACCCACTTCCCTTCTCATCTGCCTAGGCTTCTTCCGCCTCACCTTGCCCAGCTGTGTCTCAAAACTGTTCCAGAGCCTGGGGGGTCGGGATGGCCAGGGGTTCTGCCCACCTGGCTGGGAACACAGAGGCTGCTGGAAACTAAACCGTGAAGCAGCACAAAGGAGAAAAAATGTCAAGTGCTGCTCCTGGGTCCAAACATTCATGTGGCCAAGGATGTGACCATGACCCAAAACGGCATTGGAGGTTGCCACTGGGCCATCTCTGATCACCTGATTGATGTCTGTCTCCTGCACTGGACTTGGAGCCCTGAGAGAGCAGGGATCCCAGATGGGTTCAGTCCCATGCAGTACGAGCTCTGGCTCCCAGGAGGCCTTTGGTGAACCTTTGTTTAGCACATTGGTGTGTGGAGCTAAGCACCCCTCCAGCCATGAGTGCACACGGCAGTGGGACTTGAGGGCATGTGGGCAGACAGCGGCGAAAGCCAGCCTGCCTGGGCTCAGTCCCAGCTCTGCCACGGCTGGCTGACTCTGGGCAAGGTGCTTTGCCTCAGACCTCCACTTTCTTATCTGTGAAATGGGGATGATGAAAATAGTTTCCTCATGAGGTTGTTGTGAGGACAGAGGAGGCAATAGCTGTGCAGTGCTGAGCACTATGCCAACATGTAGGACGCACCATAAATATTATAAACTACTATTATGACTAAGAGGTGGACATGAGGATCCCAACTTCATAGAAGAGAAAACAGGCTCACAGTGGGCAACAGAAAGTGAGGAATGGAACCTGGGCATTCCCTTACCCAGTGAGCTGCCCTTTCTTGGGAAGAAGGGGATACAGGGTTAAATCTGGCAGCTCCATTCTGTCTTGGCTTCCTTGCCCAAGCCTGTCTGGCCATCTGTCAGACCTATGGTCCTTGGGGGCCGGTGTGACAGGGCCTTTTAAAACTGGAAACGGCTGGGGAGGTGGCAAGAAGGCTGTACTAAAATATTCGGGAGCGGGGGAATGAGATATCCCAATTACCCAGAGAGGCCGCTCCGTGGTCTCAAGTGGCTGCAGAGAGGGCCCAACCCAAAGGGCCTGTATATGTGGTAACCAGGGGTGGGTTACCAGCTGCTCCTTCCTGTTCCCATCTCAAGGATGGCCCCACCATGCCCAGTACCCAAGCCAGACACTACTCTTCCCCTCCCCACAGCCTCCCTGAGCTCCCAGTGTCCAGTCTTAAAGACCCCTCGTGACCTGACCAGTGTGGCTCAGTTGGTTGGAGCATTGTCCCCTATACCAAAAGGTGGCAGGTTCCATTCCTGGTCAGGGCACACACTCAGGTTGCAGGTTCCATCCCGGGTCTGGGCATGTATAGGAGGTAACTGATCAATGCCTCTCTCTCTCTCTCTCTCTCAGGCTCTTCCTTTCTCTAAAACCAATTGTAAAAAAAATAAAGACCACTCATTATTCAGAAGGGGTTTCCTAATTCTGACTGCACCCCTCTCCTGCTCAAGTCCCTCCCACGGCTCCCCAGGGCACCCATATAAACGCTATAGCCCAGGTGGTGTGGCTCAATAGTTGAGCATCAACCTATGCACCAGGAAGTCATGGTTTGCGTCCCGGTCAGGGCACATGCCCAGGTTGTGGGCTTGATCCCCAGTGTGGGACTTGCAGGAGGCAGCCAATCAATGATTCTCTCTCATCATTGATGTTTCTCTCTCCCTCTCCCTTCCTCTCCGAAATCAATAAAAATATATTAAATAAACAAAGTACAAGCTACAAAGCATGGCTTCTGAGACCCAGAATGATTTGGCTCCAACCTCATCCCTGGCTCCTGCTCTGCCCCTTACCTACCCGCCAAGCAGACCATGAACTTCCTCTTGATCCCTAGGACCTTACTTCTCAGAGTGTGGTTCTTGTGTGAGAAGCTTTGGCATCACCAAGGAGTGTGTTAGAAATGCAGCATCTTATGTCTAGCCAGGCCAGAATCTGCATCCTCACAAGGTCATGGAGCGGGGGTTTCACATGCAGTCCAAAGTTTGAGAAGTGCTGCTTTAATGGGAATATCTCTTCTTGCCTCTTCCTGATTGGTCTCCTCATCCCTCAGGTCTCAACTCTGATGTCTCCTCCTTTAGGAAGCCCTCCCTGATTCCACAGGCTGGGCCAGGCTCCTCTGAGCTCCCATAATGCCGTGCTTCCCCCTTCCAACCGTGATCACTCTGGGTCCTCACTGTCTGTTCCCCCACTGGACTGTAAACTCTTTGAAAGTGGGGTCCTGAATTGGTCACTATTGTCCCCAATATTACCCAGAATAGGGCTGGGCACAGACATGGTATCAAATAATGTTTAAATTGATGACTAAATGATTAGAAAACCCAGATTGAATGTCTCATGTCACCAATTAATGAGATAGTGTTCTCTGTGGCCTCTAAGACAAATTACCCAGTTAACTGCCACGCGTCCAAAATGGAAACCATTCCCACACGCCACAATATTTTTAATTTAATTGCATCTATAGACGCTTATGGTGTACAAAGGGTTAACCCCAGTTGGTGGGTGGGACAGGCAACAGGTGAGGAAGCACTTCCTGAGGACAGAGCAGGTCCCCAGGGAGCAGCCCGCCAGGAAGTTATGTGAGGGCAAGGCTGGACACCAAGATCCTGGACAGTGTGGGGTGTGGGATGGTGACAGGGTGAGCACCATGGGCCTTTCTCTTAGGAGAAGGCTAGTGAGTGTGGGGAGCACGAGCTGTGCACCCAGACATCCGGAGTGAGACTGCTGTGACCTTGGGCAAGTGACTTAACCTCTCTGAGACCCAGTTACTTCAGGGATAAAACAAAGCTAAGAATGTCCTTACCCCATGCGGTTGCTGTATGGTTTAAATCAATTACCAAATGTATAACACTTAAACCACACCTGACATAATATTAAGTGCTTAGTATTTGTTAACTGCTATTAGTATTACTACTATTTCTCTTTTTTTAAAAAATTTATTTATTGGTTTCAGAGAGGAAGGGAGAGGGAGAGAGATAGAAACATCAATAATGAGATAGAATCATTAATGGGCTGCCTGCTGCACGCCCCCTACTGGGGATTGAGCCCATAATCTGGGCATGTGCCCTCCAGGTTCATGAGTCAACTCTCAACCATTGAGCCACACTGGCCAAGCTATTTCTTATTTCTTAATTCGAGATACTATATTTCTCCTTCTCACCCTTGCCTCAGTAAATGGCCCTTCACACCCCAGGGTTGGGGGCACTCACCTCAATGTAATTGTCTGTGAATTCAGTCCCAAATCCCCGGCTTGCACCAAAGTCCAGCAGGGTCACCTGGGAACAATGATGGTGAAAGGGATGCTGGGAATCCAGCAATGCTCCCCATTGTCTATTTGGGGTGGCCAGGGTCATCCTTCCTCCCTATACCCTGTCTCCTCCTGCCAGAGTCCCCGCCCACTGTGTCCCTGGGCTCCTAATCTCCTGTCTCCACAGTTCCAATCCACCCCCACACGAAGCTGAAGGGACTTGGCTTTTTTTTTGCTCCTAATGGTTTTTATAATAACATGTTTTAGGCACAGAAAGAAAATACAGGGAATAAAATATATAGAAGAGTGAACACAAATCTCACCACGCTTAAAATATAAAATAATTCCAATCCAGGTGGGGCTTCCCATATACCCTGGGCTGATCCTACCAGCACAACGTCCCCACCCTCTTTTCTAGGGTCACCGCTTTCCTGAAATGATTATTAAATTATTATTTCCTGAAATTACCATGTGTGTATTTCTACATTTTCTCCTACATGTTTGCACCCATAAACGATAGTCATGTTTTGTGTATTTAAACTTCACATAAATAGTGTTTATGATAGTGATCCTGCAACTTGTTCCTTGTGCCCAACATGATTTTTCAATTTATCCCCATTGCTATGTGCAGCTCTAACTCATTCATTCATTCCTCACTGCTGTGGAAGGACTTCACTGTGTAGATATATCAGAGCATTTATCTAGCTGGTGGGCAATGTGGGCGTTTCTGGGGTTTGCTATTAAACAGTGCTCGATGAATACATGTGTAGGAGTTTCTCTAGGCAGTAGTTGGGATTATTGATCACAACCCATAGTAAGAAATGCAGAATATACTGGGTACCAGTGCCAATGCCACATAAATATAAACACCAAACCAAAGTGTCCTAAAATATAACTCCCTCCCATGTGACACAGTGATATTTTCTATTCTATGTCTTTAAAACAAACAAACAAACAAAATGCACTTAGACCCAATAAACTGACATCAGGAGGCAGGACATGTATTACCTATCAGGTCAGAAAACCCCTCCTTGGGATACCAGCCTATGAGGGTGCAGAGTGTACCTGGGGGTAAGGCAGTAGCAGGGACTGACCTGGAGACTCAGAAGGCCATTCACATTTGGCAAAGGACTTAGACTTATCCGGAGGGCGCTGGGGCACTCTGGGAGGCTCAGTGTGGCCAGATTTGTGTTTGGGAAAGATCCCTCTTGGGACAAAATGGGGGCAGGCCACGTTGGAAAGCCACTTGGCCACCATGCATGCTGAGAGCCTTTCCATCCAAACTCTCATCCCCAGGCCTTTGGACACACTGTGCTCTGCCAGGAGCGCTTTTCCTTGCCCTTTAGATGACTGTCCTCTTCGAATCTTTCTGGTTTCAGCTTTAATGACACTTTCTTCAAGAAGACTTCCTGCCGAAACCGGTTTGGCTCAGTGGATAGAGCGTCGGCCTGCGGACTGAAGGGTCCCGGGTTCGATTCCGGTCAAGGGCATGTACCTGGGTTGTGGGCATATCCCCAGTGGGGGATGTGCAGGAGGCAGCTGATCGATGTTTCTCTCTCATCGATGTTTCTAACTCTCTATCTCTCTCCCTTCCTCTCTGTAAAAAAATCAATAAAATATATTTAAAAAAAAAAAAAAAAGACTTCCTTGCCCAGCTTGTGTGGCCAGTGGTTGAGCGCTGACCTATGAACCAAGAGTTCATGGTTCGATTCCCAGTCAGGGTACACACCTGGGTTGCAGGCTCAATACAGGAGGCAGCAGATCAGTGATTCTCTCTCATCATTGATGTTTCTATCTCTCTCTCCCTCTCCCTTCCTCTCTAAAATCAATAAAAATAATTTTAAAATTAAAAAAAATATTTTTTTTAAAAAAAATATTTCCTTGACCCTACATACCCAGACAGGTCAGCCACTTTCCCTGGCTTCCCACAACCCCCTTGTGCATCCCCCACCACTGACAACTCTGGCCTGTGTTTCTCCATCATGGTACTAACTACTCTAGGTGACCGCTGGTGACAGGTCCCGCCCCTGGGCCAGGAACTCTGAGAAGGTGAGGATCAGGACTGTCTTGGCATTGTTGTCAAGAGGCAGCGGCTGCTTGGTGTGTCCCAAAGAGTGACAAGTGTGGTAATGATGACTGACTGCCTTCTGTAAGTTGTGTTCCCTCTTCTATACTGTCACAGTGCCACTCGGAAGCCACTGCCTAGCCAGTGACTGCTTTTTCCCAGCATCCTTTGCACCTAGACAGGTTGTGTGAACAGCTACCAACAGAATGGTAAAAGGAATGATGTGTCACTTCTGCTCAAAACAGTTAGCAGGGGATTCTACTCTCAATCTCTTTCCCTTCCTGGGATGGCACAATCACAAAAGGGAAGGCACCTGGGTCTCCAAATCACCACCTGGAGAACTACCCCAGCCTGTCATGTGGGTAATAAGCTACTATTGTGATAAGCTACTGAAATATTGGAAAATATCTGTCACAGCAGTTAATGTATCCTGTCACACATCACAAGAAACCAACCTGGTGGCTGGAGGCATCATACAGGAAGTTGGCCCAGTTGGGGTCCGTTTGCATGAATCGGAACTCAAACAGCTCCCGCAGACACAGCCTCAGGAGCTGGAAGCAGATCTGGGGTGGGAAGAAGGAGTAACAGACACCTTGGAGTCATCTGCCCCTGTCAAGCCCTCTATGGCCTGGAGAGGGACGATGGGTCTGGCCAGCCCTGCTGGCCCTGCCTTGTGGCAGCACCCTCCCTGCTGTCCTAGGAGACCATGTACCTGGTTTCGGATGTCCTGGCTCAGGCTCTGGCACTGGTCCAGGGGGACCCCTCCAGCCAGCTCCATGCCCAGCACCCGTGTAGTGCAGAGATCCTCAATCACTGCTGGCACCCGGAAGAATGGGTCATCTGCCAACAGCTGCCTGGGGCAGAAGGGGGGGTGGGAGGGGGACTTGGCTTCAGGTCCCTGTGGCCCAGCTCAAGGACTCCTCCTCCTCTGAGAAGTCCTCCATGAACAGTCTATGTCTCGCCTTCCCTCCTGCTCTCCTCTTGCCTCTGTGTGACCTGAGTGATGGCCAATACCTGGCTGGACTGACATTCATTCAGACATTTTATTCATTAATTCATTCAACAATCATCTCCGTAGGGCCTACTCTGTCTGCCCCTAAGCTGGCTGCTAGAGACCCAGTTACCACTTCCTGACCAGAAATACTTGCGTGATATCCAGTTGCCTCATGATGAGTTTAATGTGTTAAGCTCCATGAACATTATTTTTTTCATCAACTTATTAATTCATCCTTTAAAAATAAGTCACTGATATACAAATCTTCAAGTCTACAGTGATACTCATCGCTACTCCTTGAAGTCATTACTGGGAACACTGGCTAATTAAGGGAAAGAGTCCTCAGTGTCTGCCCCTGTGCTGGACCATGCTGGGGACAGAGCAGTGGATGAACTCCAGGCCTGCTCCTGACATACACAGTGACCACACTCGAACAAACAAATAGACCGGTAGATTGAGATAAGGGTCAATGAGTGAGGCCTCTGGTTGGGGACCTATGGGATGGCTGGAGTAGAGTAAGATGGGGAGCAGGGAGATGAGGAGGGGCCAGAGGAAATGATGTAGGTTTTATTCTAAGGGCACTAAGAAATCCTGTGGAGAGGGCTCTCCCCAGATCCCACAAGGAGCGCTCTGGCCCAGTCTACACCTCGCACCCCCCTCCTCCGGGTCCTGCTTCAGGCTTGCATTTTTGTCCTTGTTTATAAAATCTCTGATGTTGGACCCACTCCTGGTGGGCTAGGCCCTGTGCCGAGCATTTAATCAGCACAGTTCCCTTTTCACTTCCCTGGGGGGTACTCTCCCAAGGCCACTGTGCAGTCAGGCCACCAGCCTAAGGGCTGACCTGGGGCTGGATCCCACATCCGTCTTCCCAGGCCCGTGCCCCTAACCCTACCTTCCACCACCTTTTCTCTCATTGTGTTTATACAGCTTGGCTCACCTATGAAGGATCTCACTGCGGTATTTGCTGCATATCACGATGTTTCTAAGAGACAACCACACTGTTCCCAGTAGCTATGATTCATTCATTTTCGCTGCTGTATGGTATTCCACTGATGAATATCACATAATTTAATCATCTACCCCGCTGGATGAATTTCAAAGGTTTGGGTTGTTTCCAATTTGGAGCTATTACTACTCTGAGCTTTCTAGAAAAGTCTGATGGTGTATACTGGCATTAGTGACCCTAGAGCAATTAGCCAGGAGGGCAACAATTGGGATGTATGTGAATATCCAGCCTTATTATAGGATGCCAAACTGGTCTCCAAAATGCTTATCTCAAATCTCCTCCTGCCCTGGTGAGAAGAAAGAAATGCCCTGCAACCCTGTCCTCTCCAACTCTTGACACTGTCAGATCCCTCTAGCTTCGTCAGTGCAGCAGGTGTAACTCATTCTGTGACTCAGTGTCTGCTGACAAGATCATCTTCCCCACTGGGCTGAAGAGGTTACCTAACCCATTCCACAGACGAGAAAACTGATACTTAGAGAGAGGAAGCGACATGCCCAAGCTCACAGCGAACACAGTGGATAAGTGAAGTAATGAGTGAAAGGATGAATGGATGAACAAACGAATGAAGAGAAAAAGGAGTTTGCCAGCCTCACCCCAGGGCTCCACTTCCACTCAGCGTGGGAGGGAGGGAAGGAGGGAAGCTGGAAGGAAGGGGTCCTCGGGGGCCTGCCAGCCACCCGAAGTTTTGTGCTCACCTGAAGTTCTGGGCACAAGCTGCTTCGCGACGGTAGTCACACTCCCAAGCCAGCTCCTGCTGCAAGGCCTGCAGGCTCTGCTCTGCAAACAGGCCTGAGGGGAGCAGTGTCAGCCAAGGAAGGTCACAGGCTGTCCACCCCGCCCAGCCCCTCAGGCTCCACTCACGGATGTCTTCTCTTGCCAATCCTGTCTCTCACTTGTCCCTCACGCTTTCTGCTCCAAGCCTTTTACCCCAGTGTCTGTCCACACACCTCCCCTCAGTCCGCATATAACTGCGGCTCTTCTGAAGTCGCTCCTGGGGTCTCTCTCACAGGCATGCGCACCAGTCCCGAGGCATCTTTGTCATAGTCACGCATGCCACCTATTCCACCGTTTTCGTACTCTCTCTGAATCTTCTGTCTTTGCCTCTCTCTCTCTCTCTCTCTCTCTCTCTCTCTCTCTCTCTCTCACACACACACACACACACACACACACATCCTGCTCCATCTTCTTTGGGCTCTTTAACACAAACATGAGGCCCCACTTACACTCTCATCCTGCTTCTGTGGCTCTTTTTCAGACCGACAGTCCCTCTCTGCATACCTCCTGTGTGTCTGTTTCTGGAGTTTGGTCTGGGCTTCTGACTCTCAGTGTTTCTGTCAGAATCTCTAAGTCTCCTTTTCTTACATACTTATACTCTCACTCTCCCTGCCTTGGCATCCCTTCTTTCTGTCTCAAACACACACTCACACCACTCACACACAGGCACACCCTGGTACTCTCTGGGCTCTCCCTCCATTCAGGCCCACTTCCTCTCTTCAGGGTACCGCTTCTACATGGGCACCTCACCCTCGGGCAGAGCCACGCTCATCTTGAGCACCGCCAGCAGGTTCTGGACATCACTTTGGATGCTCTGGGCAACGCCTGGGTACTGTGAGGGGGGGAGTGGGGGGAGGGGAGTCATTCTTCTGGGACAGCAGGGTGCCCACCGCCACCTGTCCATCCCCTCCTCTCACCTGGATCTTCACGGCCACCTCTGTCCCATCCCTCAGCATTCCCTGGTGCACCTGTCCAATTGAGGCGGCGGCAAAGGGCACCTCCTCGAAAGAGGCCACCTTGGCCTGCCAGTCCCTTCCGAGCTCCTCTTCGAGAACTCTCTAGGGAGAGCAGTGGTAACAATCATCACCATGATTATAGGCAACTGAGTTCATTCCCTGTGTCAAGCACTTTACAAGTTAACAACTCCAACTCTTACCACATGCCGGGCCCTGGCTCGGCTGCTACCCCACTTTACAGACGAGGAAATTGAGGCTCAGAGAGAAGTCTCTCAGCCAAGGTGAACCAGGCACTGGCGGACAGGGAGGCCTAGCCCAGCTGGTATTAACTCAAAGTTAATGCAATAGATAAGAGTTAAAATTTAAGGGCTTCCTGTGGGCTGGGTACTGTTCAGAGTGGCTCAGAGAGCAGCAATAATTGCCCAGGGTCACATGGTGAGTGAGCAGAACAAAGATCAGAAGACAGGTGGCTGGATTCTGGATTCCATACCCTTACAGAGTAATTGGAAGAAACAGCTCCTGTCTTGGGCACTTAGAGCCAGGTGCTATGCCTACCGACTGACAGACACACTCTCCTCTAATTTAAAAAACCAGTTAATAGTAACAGCTAAAACTTGCATGTCACTCATGCAAACCCTTCTAAGTGCTTTCTGTAAACTAATTTATGATGTGGGATGGCTATCACTATCGCCATTTCACAGATGAGGACACTAAGGCACAGAGAGGTCAGGCCGCAGGTCTGAGATCGCACAGGTAGGAAGTGGCAGAGCTAGGGTTTGAATTCAAGAAGCCTTACCCCTAATCACTGTGCTCACTGCCACTTTAACAGCTCACTGAGCCTTCCAGGGACTGGACTAAGTGCTCTGCACCACCCTTATTTAATCATCACAACAATCCTATGAGGAGTGTGCTTTGGCGATCCATTTTACAGATGTGGAAACCGAGGCCCAGAGTCTGACAGGGAGTAGAGCAGTAAAGCCAGGAGAGACAGGCAGGTGGAGCCCACCTCCCTGGTCAGCCTTCTCCCACTGGGCACTCACCAGCATCTGCCAGCGGGGCATGAAGTCAGCACTCTGGCGGACCCGCTCAAAGATGCGCTGAAGCTGGGGGCTGATGAAGCTGTTGTCTTGGGAGACAGGGAGACAAGAAATAAGGGAAGCAGTGAGGGATGAGGTGAGGGGGACCCCTGGGGGAGTACCTGAAGTCCGGGTTTGTTGGTGAGGGGGGTGGAGTAGAAGTGAGATCAGGGGTCAAGGGTCATGCTGTACCCTGGATGCTGAGCATTTGGCCAATCTTGAGAGCGGCCCCCCGAACTGTACACAAGGTCTGAACAATCCGCTCAGCATTAGCCTCCGACAAGAAAGGGCTGGAGCCAGGCTGGGAGCTGCCCTCTGGGTAGAGAGAATGATTATTAGTATCACAACCACAAAAATAATCAGTACAACACCACTACACGCCCACCAAAATGGCTAAAATGAAAAAGACATTATCAAGTGTTGGCAACGATGTGGAGCAGCCTGACCGCCAGCCCTGCTGATGACCGTGCCACGGCACAAGCCCATGGGAAACATGGGCAGGTTCTAGTAAAGCACATGCCTGTACTGGATGCCTTTTCTCTCAGAGGTATGCCCACGAGAGATGCATAAATGTGTCCACTGACATATGCCAAAAGGGGTCATCGCAGCAAAGCTCATAAAAGCCCCAAACTGGAAAGATCCCAAATGACCACCAGTACAATGAACAAAGGAATTGTAGAACAGTCAGTGAATGACTACTACAGCAAGGAATAAACCATCTACATCCGCTCACAGCAAAGTGGATGCCTTTCACATACAGAACGCATGGATTCAAAGAACCAGACATCTACAAGAATACACTCATTACATTGGTGTAAAGAGAAAAAAACTGGCAAAAGTAATCTTGGGGTTAGAAGCCAAAACAGTGGTCACCCTTTGTGGGGGAAGTGCCCAGGGTGGGGCACTGGGGAAGGTATTTTCAAAGCATGGTCAGGGGGTCCCTGAGGATCCTCGAGATCTGTCAGAGGGTCTGTGAGATCAAAAATGTTATTATAATAATATTAATGTTATTTGCACCTTTTTACTCTTGTTCTCCCACAAATGTTCTGTGGAGTATTCCAGAAGCTCCATGACCCATGATGATACCACTGCTCTGATGGCTGATGAAATGCGTGTGTTCTTGTGTTTTAAAATGTCTCAGTTTTAATCTCTAATACAGTGAGCCCTAGCCAGTGTGTAGAGCATTGTCCCCTGCACTCAAAGGTCGCTGGTTTAATTCCTGGTCAGGTAGTGGTCTGGTCCCCAGTAGGGGTGCATGTGGGAGGCAACCGATTGATGTTGATATTTCTCTCACATTGATGTTTCTCTCTCTCCCTCCCCCTTCCTCTTTCTCTCTCTAAAATCAATAAAAGCCGAAACCGGTTTGGCTCAGTGGATAGAGCTTCGGCCTGCGGACTGAAAGGTCCCAGGTTCGATTCCGGTCAAGGGCATGTACCTGGGTTGTGGGCACATTCCCAGTAGGAGATGTGCAGGAGGCAGCTGATCGATGTTTCTCTCTCATCGATGTTTCTAGCTCTCTATCTATCTCCCTTCCTCTCTGTAAAAAATCAATAAAATATATTTTTAAAAAATCTTAAAAAAAAAAATAAAAAATAAAATCAATAAAAACACATTTTAAAAAAAATCCCTAATACAATGAATATCCATAAATATAACCCACATAAACAAGCTCTTTGGGGTCCTCATTCTATTTTGTATTGACTTTATTGAGGTGACATTGGTTAATAAAATTATATAGGTTTTAGGGATACAATTCTATAATACATCATCTATATATTGTATTGTGTGTTCACCACCCCAAGTCAATCCTCATTCTATTTTTAAACAGCTTTATTGAGAGATAATTCTCATACCATATAATTCACCCATTTAAGGTATATAATTCAATGGCTTTTAGTATATCGAGAGTTGTGCAACTATCACTACAACCAATTCCAGAACATTTTCATTCCCCAAAAAGAGACCCCTTCCCTATTATTAGCAGTCAGGCCCCAATCCTGGAAACCACTAATCTACTTTCTGTCTCCACAGGTTTCCCTATTCTGGGCATTTCATGTAAATGGAATCATACAATAAGTGAACTTTGTGTCTGGCTTCTTTCACTTAGGATACTGTTTCCACACTGTAGCAGGTATCAGCACTTCATTCCCTTTTAATGGCAGAATAATATCCCATTGTATGGATATACCACATTTTTTTTTTTTTTCAGAGAGGAAGGGAGGGGGAGAGATAGAAACATCAATGGGAGAGAATCATTGATTGGCTGCCTCTTGCACGCTCCCTACTGGGGATGGAGCCCACAACCCAGGCACGTGCCCTTGACCGGAATTGAATCCCTTCAGTCTGCAGGCCGATGCTCTATCCACTGAGCCAAACTGGCCAGGATGATATACCACATTTTTAAAAATCCATTTCTTAGTTTTAAGATTATATAGGGATCCTGAGACCAAAAAGCTTGAGAAATGCTGTTCTAGGGTTTCTTTATTATTATTATTATTATTATTACTATTATTATTATTGTTGTTGTTGTTGTTAATCCTCACCCGAGGATATTTTTTCCATTGATTTTTAGAGAAATAGGAGGAGGGAGGGATGGGGGAAGGAGAGAAAAACAACCATGTGAGAGACACATGTATTGGCTGCCTCCCACACTGTGACCTTTCGTTGCTCAGACCAACATTCTACCCACTGAACCATACTGGCCAGGGCTCTTTTGAAAAACAAATCCATTCCTTAGTTTTAAGGGTGTACTAGTATAGGGATCCTGAGACCAAAAAGTTTAAGAAATGCTGTTGAATCTGCTGCCTCCTGCGCACCCCCTATTGGGGATCGAACCTGCAACCCTAGGATGTGCCCTGACCGGGAATCGAATCAATGACCTCTTGGTGCATGGGATGATAGTCAATCAACTGAGCCACACTGGCTGGGCATGTTCTAGGGTTTCTTGATCTGGGTGCATAAATGTGTCCACTTTGTGAAAAATGAACCAAGCTGTACATTTGTGATGTGTAGGCAGGTCTACATGCAAATTATATTATTATTCAATAAAGTGCCAATATGCTTTTATTTATTAAAAAATTATTGAGCTCGTCCTGGTGAGCTCATCATTGATCTCCCCCTATCTCCCCCTATCTCCCCCTTCCTTCTTCTCTCTCTGAAATTAATAAAAACATATTTTAAAAAATTATTGAGCTCTTTATTGAGGGCTCACCCTGTGCCAGGCAGAATTCTAAGTGTCTCTCTGGATTCTCTGGCAGAATCCCTACAATCACCCCAGGAAGTAAAAACTACCAATGTCGCCCTAACCGGTTTGGCTCAGTGGATAGAGCGTCGGCCTGTGGACTAAGGGGTCCCAGGTTTAATTCCGGTCGAGGGCATGTGCCATGGTTGCGGGCATATCCCCAGTGGGGGGTGTGCAGGAGGCGGCTGATCGATGTTTCTCTCTCATCGATGTTTCTGGCTCTCTATCCCTCTCCCTTCCTCTCTGTAAAAAATCAGTAAAATATATTAAAAAACAAAACAAAACTACCAATGTCTTAATTTTCAAGGCAAGGAAATAAGAGATTCAGAGAAGTACACTGCCCAGCCCTGGGTCACACAGCACAGAAGTGGCAGGCAGGGTATAGACTCAGTTTGGCCTTACCCTAAGGCCTAATCTTCCCCCTATTTCCAACTTTTTATTAAAAAAAAATCCAAGCAGACAAAAAAGTTGCATCATGAACACCCGCACACCTGATTCAAACATTTTAATATTCTGCCTCCTCTGCTTTATCTCTGTGTGTGTACCCAAACACTTACTATTATTTTTTGCTGACCGATTTGCATGGAGCTGCACTCAACCTGTGCTAAAAATAAGGAAATTCCCCTATACAATCACAGTGCCATAATCACCCTTAAAAAAATTAACCCTGCCGAAACCGGTTTGGCTCAGTGGATAGAGCGTCGGCCTGCGGACTGAAAGGTCCCAGGTTCGATTCCGATCAAGGGCATGTACCTGGGTTGCGGGCATATCCCCGGTAGGAGATGTGCAGGAGGCAGCTGATCGATGTTTCTCTCTCATCGATGTTTCTAACTCTCTATCTCTCTCCCTTCCTCTCTGTAAAAAATCAATAAAATATATTTAAAAAAAAAAAATTAACCCTAATTCTCTAATATTTACTATCCAATCCATATTCAGATTTTCCCAACTGTCCCCCAAATTCTTTTACAGTCCTCTTTTCCTTTTAATTTTGTGATTTTCAATTAGAGTTGACATTCATTATATTAGTTTCAGGTGCACAGCTTAGTGGTTAGACATTTATATGACTTATGAAGTGATCACCCCGTAAGGCTAGTACCTGCCTATTATACATAGTTGTAAAAATATAGCCGAAACCGGTTTGGCTCAGTGGATAGAGCATCGGCCTGCGGACTGAAAGGTCCTAGGTTCGATTCCGGTCAAGGGCATGTACCTGGGTTGCGGGCACTTCCCCAGTGGGAAATGTGCAGGAGGCAGCTGATCGATGTTTCTCTCTCATCGATGTTTCTAACTCTCTATCTCTCTCCCTTCCTCTCTGTAAAAAATCAATAAAATATATTTAAAAAAAAAATTAAAAAAAAAATATTACTGACTATATTCCCAATGCTGTACTTTATATCCACACGATTTAGTTATTTTTTTTCCCAACTAACATCCAAGTATGGTCCACACATTCCATCTGTCAGTTATCTCTAGTCTCTTTTTAATCTAGAATATCCACCCCCATTTTTGTTTCGGCCATCGACTTGTTGAGGAATCTTACCGACAGAAGCTGATCTCTACACATCTTGTTCCATCTCGGTTGGACACAGATTCCCACTAGCAGGCCTAATTTCAGCCTTCTCCTGCGCAGGGTTAAGAACTCAGCTCTGGATGGCTTACATTTTTTTCTCTCATGATCTGTTTCAATCCATCAGGACCCTGACAGTGGCTCCACCCTGCTCTGAGCACTTTACAGGGACCCTGGGAAGTGGGTATATCATCATCACCTCCATTGTCCATATGAGGAAACAGGCTCAGAGAGGTGAAGCCTCTTGTCCCTGGTCACACAGCCAGGACCGGGCCCGACCCAGGCAGTGTGGCTAACTCACCGGACTGTAGATATCCTCCTGGCAGGGACTTCTTGACCATCTCAGCCAGCGCTCCCAGCCCCAAGCCCACAGCCAGTCCTGAGGAGTGAGAGAAGAGCCTGAATGCGCTCTTGCCTGGGGCATTCTCCCTGACCCTCTCTCCTCTGTCTCTCTAAGCACACTTGTTTCCCAGCTCTTTGTACCCAACTCTGTCTTTAGCTCAGTCACTTACTCTCTCTGCTGGGGTTTCCCTTCAAGGCGAGGCCAGCTCTTTCTCTATTCCTCTCTATAGGTCTGTCCCGTGTCAGCAGTTTTCACCCCTCGCTGCACATTTGAGTCGAGTAAGGAGCTTTTGTAAATACAATGCCCAGGTCTCATCCCTGAGGCTCTGACTAAACTGGCCTGAGATGAGGCCTCAGAATTTATCTTTTTATTAAGCATCCCAGATGATTCTAGTGTACAGCCAAGGGTAAGAAGACTCCAAAAGGGTCCCCCCAAGTCTCTCTGCGGCTTCCTGGGATTCCTGTTTCTCTGTCCACGCCTCTTCTTCATGTTCGCCCTTCCTACGTCATCTTCCCCCTCCCCTACACTTGACATGTCTATCTAAGCCTCTTCCTCTCTGTTCCTCCTTTTGATGTCCTGGACAACTGATTCCTCTGTGTCCTCTTGTCTCCTTGTCCCTAAAGATAGCTTGAGTCTCTCTGCCTCTTTCACTCACCATCTCTGTAAATAACCAAAGCTGGCATTTTCTGAGCACTCTCTTCATGCCAGGAACCATTCCTAGTGCGTTATACGCTTTAATGCATTTTGTCCCCACACCCTCATGTAATAAGTTTTATAGGAAAACTTCCATTTTACAGAAAAGGAAACTGAGGCTCAGAGAAGTTAAGTAACTCATCCAAAGTCACGAAGTGAGGATATAGCAGAATCACCCCTTGAACTGAGGCAGCACAGTGTCACAGCTCAGCTTCCTCTCTATACTGTGAATTGTTGTCTTTAAAGCTTGAACCAGGAGGAAGATTATTTGCATTATAACCGGTAGGTAGCAATATACCTATAACGTTTCATGAAAAAATATTTTCCATTACTCTACAGGTGAACTCGTATTTTCCATTCTATCCTTTTTAATTATTTCATGCAGATTGTGACCTGAAGTTTGAACAATTCTGCTGCTAATCTGAGGTCAAGTCACTTCACCTCTTTTAGCCTCATCTGCAGAATGGACATACACAGTCATCAACTCGGTGCAGGTATCACATGGATGGGGGCTTGCACGGAGTTCTCAATAAGTATTACCGTCCCTTCTATTTCTCTTGGTTTTATAGGCCTTTACTTTCATTCTCTTTTCATCTCTCCCTCCTCTCTGTCTGATTCGCCCTCTCCCTTACTTAATTCTGTAGATGTTGCTTCCTCGGACCGAAGTCACCGTCTCCCACAGTCACACCTACCCCCAAAGTTAGCCAAGCGGCTGATGCGGGAGGCAGGCACCTTGCGTTCTCGAGAGCGGTCACTCAGCTGGAAAATGGGGAGAAGGTCTGAGGGTGGGAAGGTGGGTACAGTGCCCGGGAAGTCCAAACAACCTGCCACCACACTATTCCCCAAGCTCGGGGGGCCAGCTGCCTTAATGGGGTGTTGTTGGTAAGGTGGGAGGCCATGATACCTGGGGCCGAGGTGTCTTCCGGAGCCGGGCCTCCCGGGCCTTGCAAATGTCCTCCTCACTCAGGCCTCGGCCAGACCCGCCCTGATGAAGCTGTTGGGCCCAAGAACCCTTACACGGCCCCTGCAAGGGATGTGGACATTGGTAAGGAGCGGAAGACAAGGAGCGGCGGGGTCTGCCTGGCCCTCTGGAGCCTCCCTATCCCTTTACTTACTGCCCATCCCCTCGGGCTCTTCACCTTGGAGACCCCTCCCCAGTATCTTACCCACCAGCGCGGCCCAGACCCCAGGGCCCCATAAGGCAGACCAACAGTCCGGCCCAGCTGTCCACAGGTCCCCCGCAGGAGGCCCCCCACCTCCAGCCACATCGCCTGGGGGAGAAGAGGAGGAATTACTCGGACAGGAGTTGTGGGGCCGACCTCCCGCTTTGCCCCACCCACCCCAAGCCCTCACCGTCCTCGGGTCGGCCCTGGCTGCCACCCAGCAGACTTCCTCCCCTGATAAGGGCCCCTCCAGTTTCTCCTGTTTCCCTCTGGTTGCTAGGCACCCATAGCTGTTCCTGCTTTCCTACCAAAGCTCACTTTCCCTGTCCCACTTCGCCGCCGTTGCTAGGGTCCGTTCTCATTGCTAGACACCCACAGATCCTCCAGGCTCCCTCTCCCTTCTCTGAGCCCCCCTCGTCGCCAGGCACCGCCTTCACCTCTGTTGCTAGGCACCCACAATCCTCCCCCACCCCCCGAGTACCCACTACCCCGTTATTGGGCACCTCCCCCTGTTGCTAAGCACCCACAGCTCGGGGCTCCGGGTCCGTATGCGCGGGGGCCTCTAGCACTTCCGGAAGCCTCCACACGCCCGCCCTCTCCGGTCAGCTAACCAATGGCGGAGCGGCAGTTCGCTGACTGACACAAAGAACTCCTCGCTATGCGTAGGGGCGGGGCCAGGGCGGAGCCGTTGGGGAGGTTGGGGGATTGCGCGTGGCAAAGCCCGGAGCACACACGTGCGCTTTTCAAAGTGCCCGGTGTGCGGCGGACCTTTCTGTTCCGTACCCCGTCTCCTTTGCAAACATCCCTCTCCCTAACAAACTTCACACCTCTCCTCTGCACGAACACCTTGCGAATCTCACTTCTACCTCCAGCATGTTCAACATCTCTCCTTTGAACACGTCTTCCCCAAACATTTTCCATGTACGTGGAGCCCATCCACTTTGCACATCCACCCTCTGCTTCAAGCATTCACATCCTGGCACCCAGCCTCCTCTGCACATATAAACCCCCTTCTTTACTTGGGAATTGTCTCCCTCAGCTCTCACCCCTGTACATAAACCCCTCACACTCAGCTCCCTGCACACTGGCCCCTGTTTCCTCATATTCCCTGCTCTCCCTGCTCCCCGCGCGCCTGCAGGATGGCCTGAGTGAGCCCCCTCTGTTTCCCGTAGGTCTGATATTTCCCAGAACGCACTCAGCCAAAATTCCCAGTGCTGAGTCAGGAGACTTGGCCTTCCAGAAAAACAGCTCCCATCCCATCTGGGTGTGTGTGTCTTGGGTGGGGGTGTGTAGGCCGGTGTAAAGCCTGCTCCCCCCACAACAGGCTGACTCACCCCTCTTCTCTCAGTCTGGAACAGAAGCAGCTGGCTGGGTCCTCTCTTCCGCTGCGGGGAGGACATATGACGCTTCCCCACAGAACCCTTGCCCCTGTCTAACCCTTTTGTCGGGAATCAGACATTCCTGTCTCTGTCCCTGTGCTCTGTGACCTCAGAAGAGCCTTGACCCTTTCTGACCTTTGTTCCCAGCCTGTATGATGTGTGAGGGGGTCTCTGCGATGACTTGTCATTGGTCCGTGAAGAGATGACTCATTTTAGATTCCTGGGCCTGGGCCCAATGCCCCTCCCACAGGTGACTCAATTTCAAGACAAACCATCTCCTGTCCCCCTCCAGACATAAGGGTCTGACTCAGGAGCTGGGTGACAGTTCACTCTTGAAGGTAAAAATACATAAAAGTACCTATGACAATAACTAATTCACATGGCTTATATGCACGAGGTCATATAAACAAAGGCTAGAGGGTGGCAGATCTCTGAACCTCAGAGTCCCCATCTGTAAAATGGGGCTGTGTCAGCACCTCTTGCTCAGTGTTAGTGAGAGAGAGAGATGCAGTGAAATAGTGTCCATAAAGAGCAGAGGGCCCTGCCCTGGCCAGTGTGGCTCAGTTGGTTGAGCGCCATTCAAATGACCAAAAGGTCACTGGTTCGATTTGGTCAGGGTACATGTTCAGGTTTTGGTCTCAATCCCCATTAGGGGGTGCGCAGAAGGCAGCTTATCCATGTTTCTCTCTCTCCCTTTCTCAAATCAATAAAAACAGCCCTAGCTGGTTTGGTCCAGTGGATAGAGCGTTGGCTTGTGGACCAAAGGGTCCAGGGTTTGATTCCAGTCAAGGGCACGTACCTCCCTGGCCAGGGCCCTGGTTAGGGCTTGTGCAGGAGGCAATCGATGTGTCTCTCTCACATCGATATTTCTCTCTGTCTTTCCCTCTCTCTCTCTAAAAATCAATGGAAAAATATGAGTGAGGATTAAAATCAATAAAAACATATTTAAACAAGAGAGAAAGAGAAAGAGAGAGAGAGACAGACAGACATGGCCTGGTACAGAATGAGAATCTATAAACAAGAGAAATTTCTTATGGAGAAATTATTTTCAAATTTCTATTAAGCACCTATATGTGCTTTTCTAGGCACTGGGGACATAGCAAGGAACAAAACAAGCAAAAATCTTTGCCCTCTTGGTCCTGGCTTCTGGCAAGGAGCACAATCCTATTCTATATAATAAAAGCCCAGAATGACCTGTCAACCAGTCGCTATGATGTGCACTGACCAACAGGGGGCAGATGCTCAATGCAGGAGCTGCCCCCTGGTGGTCAGTGCGCTCTCATAGCTTGGCTGAGGGGGATGAGCAGTGCTCCCACAGTGGGTGGATCCCCGCAGGCCACGCCCCCTCCCCAGTGCACAATCCCCTGCACTGGGCCTCTAGTAAACAAATAAGTACAGACATACCTTGTTTTATTGTACTTTGCTTTATTGTTCATTGATGATATTGCATTTTTTCTTTTCTTTTTTATAATTTTATTGATTTTATATAAAGAGGAAGGAAGATGGAAAGAGAGAGAAACATCAACTGGCTGTTTCCTGCATGCCCCCTACTGGGGATCGAGCCTACAACCCCAGGCATGCACTCTGACTGGGAAATCGGACCAGCAATCTCTTGGTGCACAGGATGTTGTCCAACCAACTGAGCCATACCATTCAGGGCAATAAAGTATTTTTTAATTAGGATATGTACATTGTGTTTTTTTTAAGCATAATGCTATCATACACTTAATAGACTACAATATACTGTAAACATTAACTTTTACATTCATTGGGAAACCAAAAACTTCTTTGACTTACTTTATTGCCGTATTCACTTCATTGTGGTGGTCTGGAATCAAACCTACAATATCTCTGTGGTATGCCTGTATGCTTAATAAGGTGACATGTGTTAAAGAGAAAAATAAACCTGGGAAGGGGGTCAAGGAGAGGAAGGAAGAATGTAAGATTAAATAGGATGTTCAGAGAAGGCCTCGCTGAGGGGGTGACATTGAAACGAAGACTTAAAGGAGGTGAGGGAGGGAACTGTTCCCGAGGGAAGGTGTTCCAGGCAGAAGGATGAACCAGTGCAAAAGCCCTGTGGTGGAAGATGTCTCGGAGAAATAGCGAAGGCCAACAGGCAGATTAGGGGAAAAGAGAGGAGATTTGGTTTGGGAGATAACTAGAGCCAGATCATGTACAATATATGAGTCATGAGGAGGACTGTGGCTTTTACCCTGAGTGGGATGGGAAGCATGGAGTGTTCTTAACACAGAAGGGTTATGATCTGATTTAGAGAAAATACTCTTACTTCCAGCTCCTCCTCCAACGCCCCAGCCTCAAAAGCAAGTTATATCACCCAGTAGGGAACAAAAGCTCAGACTTTGGATTAGGTTGGCCTGGGTTCAAATATACACAATTTAGATATGTGATCTTGGATTTTGCCTTTCTGTGCCTCTGTTTCCCTGACCATGGATGATGGTAATCCCTACCTCAAAAGGTATGGGGTATAAAGTGGTAAGTACAGTGCATGGCACAAAGCAAGTACACAAATGTATATGTTGCTGTGTAAATAAATAAAAATTCCCATAACCCGGTGAGGAAATTATCATTGCTATTCCCTTTTTACAGATGAGGAAACTGAGGCTCAGAGGAAACAAGTCTGTTGGAGCCAGGATTTGGCTAGATCTCCTAGCTTCAGAGTTAAGGTGGTTGCTTTGTCCCTCCTCTAACCTCCCTTTGACCTTAGACAAATTCTTTCACTATTCTGGGCCTCAATTTCCCTGTTGGTAAAGTGCTTGGCTTTTGTGGCATTGAACACATTTTTCGAAACAATCAAATAATATTATGTATCCTCATTTTACAGGTGACAAAACGAGCCCGGGTAGGGAGCGTAAGTCACTCGTTCAAGGTAACACAGCTGGGAATTGGCAGAGGTGGGTCTCGAACTCACACATCCCTGGGACCCCCAAGTCTCTGGAACGCAGGCCCTTCGTGCGTGAAGGAGCACGCTGCTGGACTCGTCCTCGAGAGCTATCGGCGGCTTAACTGGCCACTTAAAGTGTAGGGGGGTTAGATCAGTCGCGGGGTTCTAGGGCGGGGCCCCACTGCCCTGCAAGCAGGGCCTCAGGGGGGCTACACCTTACCCGGACGAGCTCGCGGCGCTGGGAATCCACCCCTTCAAGGGAGGAGGGCGGGGACAGGCGAGGCCCCGCCCCCCTACGCCACGTCCTGTGGGCGGGGCCGCGGGCTTCCCCGGAGGTGGAGTATCGGTTAACCACTGTGTGGACTGGAGATCCGCGGGCCGGAACCGCGAGTCGGGGCTCCCCCGCCACACCCCTCTTGGGATTTAAAGGGCCAGGAGGGACTGGGTTGGGCCGAAGTCCGAACTAAGGGAGCGGGCATGAGACGCTGCCCGTGCCGGGGGGGTCTGAACGAGGCAGAGCCCGGGGCGCTGCCGGCAGCGGCCCGCATGGGGCTGGAGGCGCCGCGAGGGGGGCGGCGGCGGCAGCCCGGGCAGCAGCGACTTGGGCCCGGCGCCGGGGGCCCGGCGGGGCGGCCGGAGGGGGGCGGGCCCCGGGCCCGGACCACAGGGTCCTGCCTCCACTCTGAATGCGAGAAGGCCAGCTTCGGGCCTGAATGGGGGACAGACAGACAGACTGAGCCTGAAGCAGCCGGCCTCGGAGCGGAGACAGAGCGGCCCAGTCCAAAGACGGAGCCAGACAGGTCCAGCCCCCGGACACATCCAGAAAGGAGCAGCCACTGGTCAGAGCTGGAGACACCCGGCCCCTGGACGGAGGAGCCTGGCACAGGTGGATTTTGCACGGACCCACGCAGGCCCGGCCTCCAGTCTCGGCCACAGAGGGCCAGACTCTGGACACAACCAAGCGTTGATGGGGCCTGCACCGAGTCAGAAATACATGGGCCACAGACCCAGCCCGAGAGGTCCAAGCCCTGGACGGATAACCCCCGGACCCACCAGAAGAGCTCTGGCCTTCAGACGCAGCCGGAGGGGGCCTGGCGGGAGCTATGCATGGGTGGCTCCAGGACACAACAGGACCCTGAAGGCCCCTGCACAGCGTCTCACACTGATGGCTCCCAGATACAACAGGATACCGAAACCGCCTGGAGACAGGCTGGCACCCACGGTTTCCCAACACAGCAAGCTGCTGACGGCTCCTGGATACAGCCTGGCGCTGGTGATGCACAGACACAAGATACTCATGGACCCCAGACAGAGCCTGGGACAGACTACTTTTTGGGGGAGTCCAACCAAGATGGCCCATTAGCGGAACCAGAACCTGGGCAGTTGCTGACTCACCTGTACTCTCACCTGGGGCATAACTCCCTGACCCCTGTGCCCCGCCTCATCATCACTCCTGAAACCCCTGAGCCTGAGGCTCAGCCAGTGGGACTCCCGTCCCGGGTTGAAGTGGGCAGTGGAGGCTTCTCCTCCGCCTCCTCTTTCGATGAGTCTGAGGATGACGTGGTGGCCGGGGGTGAAGGTGCCAGCGACCCTGAGGACAGGTCTGGGGTGAGTGGGACCCATCCTGCCCTTAAGCCACATCCCTCCAAACCCCTCATTCCCCTGCCTTTGCTTTGAGAAGTTCTCTAGCACCTATCAGCAATTTCATCTCCAGATACTTCTTCCATCCATTTACCCTCTCGCTCTGACAGCTGGGTTACTAATCCTCTGCAGGGACCTGCCTCCTAATCCTCTCACCCTCTCACCCTCTCACCCTCTCACCCACTGTCTCCCCTTCCCCCTTCATCCACTGCCTACAGCCCTGAAGTCTCAAATGGACAGCCAGTGGCTGACTTATGCCCAGGAATCATATGATGGTGTGAGTCTGTGTGTGTATGCACATTTTTCAGCAAGGGTCCATGACTTCTGTTGGATCCTCTGATCTGTGATGTGTGACCCCAAAATCTGAACAGCAATAGTATAGGGGGACAAAAGGTGCATTTTCTACCCCACATTTCTTAGTCTGCGGCCTGTGGCTGTCTTAAGGTGTCCTGAAACTTTACCACCCTTAGCTCATTCACTTTTATAGGGAGTGAGCCCCCACCCAGCTTTTATTAGATTCTCAAAGGACTGTGTAAACCCAGAATGCCCAGGGACCCTTTAGTCTTCCCATTGTCCCCCAGTTCCCGAGGGGGCCCCTGGCAGATTCTTGTTTACATCCTCCACCCTCACCCCCAGCTTGGGTGCGGCTCTCTGCTGATGAATCAGGAGGGCTGGCAGGGCAGGTTCAGGAGAGTCAGCAAAGAGTCAGGTGTGAGAGCCTCCCATGGGTCCTCCCACTTGGAAGTCCCATTGTTCTGGGGCCCATGGCTGGAGTCCACCCTCACCCCCCTCACCCCACATGCCTCCCTAAAGTACGTGCTCACACATGTGGCCACAGATGTGACAGACAGACCTGCCTCAGCCTGCCTATGCCAGAGCAAAGGAGTTGACCCATGGGCTGTCTGCCATTGCTGTTCCCTCTGCCTACTCTCACCTCTGGCATCTTAGAACAGCTGAGCTGGAAGAGGGTGAAAAAAAACCCATTCATGCCCAGCCCTATGGTGAGCTTCTTGCTCGTATTAACTCATTTAATTCTCATACAGCAGCCCTAGGAGGTAAATGCTCTTCTCATCTCATTTTATAGATGAGGAAACTGAGGCACAGAGAGGTCAAAGACACTTGTCTAAAGTCACACACGTTGGAAGACGCAGAGCTGAGATTCAGACCCTTACTAAATACAGGCACTTTTCTAAGTGCTTTATATGTGTTAACTCTTTTTTAAGAGAGGAAGAGAGAAGGAGAGGGAGAGATAGAAACATCGATGAGAGAGAATCATTGATTGGCTGCCTCCTGTATGCCCACTACGGGGGTTTGAGCCCTGACCATGAATTTAATTGTGACCTCCTGGTTCATAGGTTGATGCTCAACCACTGAGCCATGCCGGCCAGGCTGTGTGTTAACTCTGAATCCCTATAACAGCACTATAAGATTGGGATTATTATTATTTCCATTTTACAGGTCAGGAAACTGAGGCCTAGAGTGGTGAAGTCACTTGCTTAGGTTGGCCAAGTCTGGTTGGAGCCAGAACTGAGAATTTTAACTCATTTCTGGCTGAGTTTAAAACCCAGTTATTTTTATTCATTTATTTTAATCCTCACCCAAGGAGTGAGGATATTTTTTCCATTGATTTTTAGAGAGAGTGGAAGGGGAGAGAGTGAGAGGAGAGAAAGAAACATCAATCTGAGATTGACACATGGATCGGTTGCCTTCTGTACATGCCTTGACCAGGGGTGGGGATCGAACCTGCAACCCAGGTACATGCCCTTGACCAGGAATGGAACCTGAGACCCTCCGGTGCCCAGGCCAATGGTCTCACCACTGAGCCATGTTAGCCAATGCTAAAACTGAGTTATTTTAACCCCTGCGGTGTGTGGATCCTCCCTAATTTACTTTCCTCCAGGTTTCCTGTCTCCACCTTTTTCTCATCCTTCCAGAATCTTCCTCCATGGCTCACCTCTGATCAACTTTTGAACTTTGTCTGCTCCAGTGCCTCTGAAGGCTCCCCAGGGCCTTCCTGATAGCGATCAGGAGTTCAGTACTGTGTTCAGAGCTTCCTGTCTCCAGGCTCCTTCCCATGTTCAGCTTCCCTTCTCCCCCCACCTCCTGCTGTAACAAAGCCGAAGTACACACTGTTCCTCGAACACCCTGCCGCCATCCTGCCTCCACTCATTGCTCAAGCTGTTCCTGCTGCGCAGAATACCCTTGCTTCCTTCTCTCTTCATTTTGAAATCCCATCTGACCTTAAAAGTCCAGCTACTTTCTTCTTTTCCTCCCTCCTCCCTTTTCACATCCATTCCATCCTCCTAATCAGACAGAAACAGTCCCTGAGCCTCTACAATGTGTCAGGCCCTGTGTTGGCTTTGTGGGGGACACAGCAGGGATCAAGACACACCTCATGGAGCTCCCAGGGCCATGAAGGGGACAAACCCCTCCACCAGGTTGTGTCAGCTTAGAGCGGTCAGGGCTGGGATGGAGTAAGCCCAGAGGGTTGTGGGAGTCCAGAGGAGGTGACTGGCTAGACCTGGGGTATCAGAGAGGGTTTCCTGGAGGAGAGGGCATGTGAGCTGAGACCATCAGGAAACCATCTGAGAAAGCTCAGATTAGCCGTCAGATCTAAGAAAAAAGAGAAAAGATATGAAACCTGCTTATGATTAAAAAAATAAAAATAAATGGTTGCAACCAACCTCCTTCAATCCAAGCAACATTTTTGGAGCGCCTGTTGTGTGCCAGGCCATGGGCTAGGACACAGTCATAATCATGACAACCCCAGCCCCTGCCCTCAGAGCTTGTTAGCAGGGTTGCAGACAGGCCTTTGGGGGATCTTGTAATTACTGGAGTAAGTGGGCTTGGCTCACCCCAAGCCCAGGTCAGGGGAGGGTCAGACCAGAGGTAGAAAGAACTGTGTGTTTTAGGCAAGTGACTACATCCCTCTGAGCCTTCGTTTCTTCCTCTGTAACAGAGTCAAGAATTCTCCTGGGGTTGTATGTTTAGGATTAAGTAGGTTATGGCACACTGAGTCTTTGTCATTATGCCTGGAATGTTCCAGGTGCTTAGTAAACAGGAACCTTTATTAATCACCTCCTCTCCACTCCTGCGAACTGGAGGGGGAAGGGGGTAGGCAGTAGGTCTTCCTGAATCCTGCAGTCCAGCACCCTGACTCTGCTGACCTTCCCACCTCAATTAGATGTTTGATAGGGAGCTGGGCTCTGAGGGAGGGGAGAGAGCATGCCCTTGACCCTGGAATGGTGGGGGATAGGAGGGATGAGCACACAGCCTCTCTGGAGATGATCCATTCTCCCAATACTTGCTAAGGATCTGCTGTGGGCTTGGAGCAAAGAATGCATTTGTGTGTGCATGTGTGCGCAAGGGAATCAGACACACAGTCTCAAGAAGCGCTTAGTTGAGGCAACATGATACAACTATCTCCATGTTACAGATGAGGAAACTGGGCCCAGCGAGGGAAGGTAACTTGCCCAGGGTCGCTCACAAATAAAGAGCAGAACTGTTTGCTTCTCTGGTTTTCTATTACTCTCTCTTTCTCTCTGTTCCCTGTTTCTGTCTTTTTCTTGCTCTGCCATTACTTTGTATCTGTCTCCCT